GATCGAAGAAATTAAAATACTGTTTTTATTAATTGTAAAATAATTTATTATTAAGACTTTTATTACTATCTAATAAATATTAATAAGATCACTGTGAAGCTGAAATTTAAAAAAAAATACTAAAATTGGGGGAAAACAATAGATATAACATATCCAGAAGCCCGGTACATTTCATTTTCTTCTTTCAATACATTTTTAAATTATTGAAGGTAAGTCACTATTAAATTATACCTAGAAGTAAATTCGGAGAAGCTCTGATTCTAATTGTATATCCACTGACATTTTATTTACATGTATACATTGTTCAAAACATTAAATGAAGACTGTTATTTTTCTAACAATACAAATTTACAAAGTTGATTAAATGGTTCATTTTTTAACTGATATGACATCAAAGATTTATCAGTTGTTGTTTCGTGGATACGAATAGCACACAGTAACAGACCCGCCACCTGTTACATGATCTCGGCAATAAAGAAATAAAGAAAATAAGAGGGCAAGAATAGCTTTGAGAAGACATGCTGGACATAGATCCAGATAGGGCTAACGAGACTGTCCGACGGGTCTTTTGTCCGAGTGACAGCCAGTGCTTTAGCAGCCATTAGAGAAGTTTTCATCTATCATTGAACCCTCATTTATAACTCAGGAGCTAATATAAAGAAAATTGTACTTAAACTGGTCTATCCAATCTCAATTGTAATACCAAGTATGCTAACTTGAATTAACTCCCTTTAATTTCATTAAATATTCATATTATACTAAAATATATGTTAAAACATTTACAGAGCAAGTCGTGAGAAACTGACCCAACTCTAGGAGTGGATTGCTAACAGAAAAATAATTATTAAAAGCTCATATGTTCTAATCCGATTTTCATTTGTTTAAATTTTATTGGCTGATTACAAATAAATAAAATTTCACAAATAATGAATCCTTTATATACCGAGTGTTCCGTAAGTAGAGGGACATTTTTATATAGCCCTGGAGCCAGGGCCCAAAAATCGACCTGATCGCAGGCGAAGGTTTGATTGTAAATTATGAAAGTGTATGTTAAAAAGTAAAAAAAAACCTTGTCTGCCGTTCCGCAGCCGCTGCTTTCAAAAATGGCGGCTGATTTAAAGAATATTAGGCCAATAATTTAAGGAGCGAAACGGGAAATGCATTGCGAAAAATGTGATAAAAGTTTCTATTTTTTTAACTTGTATATATGGGTTCAGACATGTAAAAAACACAATTTCTAACGCAGGCCAGCAAAGGAAAACTTTTTACAGCCAAAAAAGTCGCAAACAATTTTTTTTTCTCGATATTTTTAGGTTTTTTCATCTATAACTCCTAAACAATGCATCAAAGCGAAAAATATGTTCGTTAATGAATTAAAGAGCGTTACATTTTGCGTCAAACGAGTACATATACTTTAAAATTTGGTTTCGCGGTAAGGTATTAAACCACGGTTAACCAACTCCGAGTTTTGGGACAAATTGCTATAAATGGCCCTATAACTATAACAATAATTGGCCCTGTAACTTGGAAATGAGTTCCCTCAGAGGAAAAACCCATAGAATCAAAGTTGTAGAGCATCAAATTTCGCGTATATTCAGTATCAACTAATTTAATGTAGGTCACTTGCTGCGAACAAAATCGCTAATCTCCCGATGGCTAGAAATTGGTAATGAAGGTAAACGTGATTTTCAATATTTCAATAGTATGGGTGTCTATTCTACTGAGTTAGTTTTGTTTAAAGTCTGTTACATGCAGTATAAGCCTCTTTTCCACCTCTCAATAGCAAAAGATTTTGGTAAACGATGTGCCGAAATATACCGAATTTTATTAAGGAATGACGAATCCAGATTCGAGATATATAATTGGCCAACAATAAAAATGTCAGTACCCAGTATACGCAAAATTCGATGCTCTACAACTTTGATTCTATGGGTTTTTCCTCTTAGGGAACTCATTTCCAAGTTACAGGGCCATTTATAGTAATTTGTCCCCGTTTTTGGCAAATTTGGGAAAACTCGGAGTTGGTTGACCGTGGTTTAATACCTTACCGCGAAACTAAATTTTAAAGTATATGTACTCGTTTGACGCAAAATTTAACGCTCTTTAATTCATTAACGGACTTATTTTTCGCTTTGATGCATTGTTTAGGAGTTATAGATGAAAAACCCAAAAAATGTCGAACAAATCTGACATTTTTGGCTGTAAAAAGTTTTCCCTTGCTGGCCTGCGTTAGCAACTTTGTTTTTTACATGTCTAAACCCATGTATACAAGTTAAAAAAAATAGAAACTTTTTTCGTTAGGAGGGACGTTTCGTTCCTCAAATTATTGGCCTAATATTCTTTAAATCAGCCGCCATTTTTGAAAGCAGCGGCTGCGGAACGGCAGACAAGGTTGTTTTTACTCAGAATAACATACACTTTCGTAATTTACAATCAAACCTTCGCCTGCGATCGGGTCGATTTTTGGGCCCTGGCTCCAGGGCTATTAGGAGTGATAGCAGGCCTCAAAGGTTACAAAACATTTCACATAAACAACGGCTAATTTTCAGCTGAAAAGTAGAAAATCCAAGTATTGTCTTTTTTTAAGCGAAATATTTTTTTAAATAGGGAGCAATAAGCAAAGAAATATCTAATTGAAGTGACTACAAATTGCTTCACTGTAAATTAAACAAAATTTATTTTTATGAAGATAGATTTTGTCATTGCTAAACAATTTAAAGAGAACTGTTGATGGGCTAAACTAAGCTAAGTTCTATTTTTTAAAAAATTCATATTGCTAAGTATTGAACATAGCAAATAAGGTTTTAAAATTATTGAGGTGTAGAAAACAAAGGTGAAAGAAACCGACTTTTGACAAAAAAAACGGCGTCAAGGGTAAGGAGCAGGTAAATTAAGGACAAGGGACTCCAGGGAATTCCTCTACTCATAGTAAAAACTAGTAATGGGCTAAGTAACTGGCTGCTTTTAGGGTGTGTTATTGTGGAGTAATAGGATGAAGTTAAGAACCAATGGAAACCATCCTTGCCCCACCCTGAATATTTGTATATAATACGCCGAGAAGCAAGAAAAGAGAAAAGTCTTATGATGATATCCGGCCATGAGGATGGTTCTTAAGTTGATGTCCGGCCTTGAGGATGTGTCTTATGTTTTCTTTGTACGTTGTGGATACATTGGGTGTGAATCTCGATTTTTTTCAGAATTAACTTCCCCTAAATTAACATGTCCTCAAACCTAATTAAATGAGCATTTTTTTCTAAATGTGAGTATCTGTAGTATAGTAGGATGATATCAAAAAAAAAAAGAATCGAGCATAATATTTGTTTTTTTGACAACAGAACTGAACTCAGTTTAGTCGCACAAAAGTCCTTTTTAAATGGTTTCAACAACGACTAAGTCTATTTGATTTTGAAATAAATTTTATCTAGTTTACAGTAAAGCAATTGTTAGTGACTTAAATCGAATATTTGTTTAGTTATCACGTCCGATTCAGCAAAAAGCTAGCTTTGCTTAAAAAATAAGATACATTTTTTGCTTTTCTGCTGAAAATTGGTTTATTATTTATATGATATTTATATGACTTATATTTATAATTTTTTTTACAGGAACCTATGCTTTGTTGCAGTTCTTCCAATGATATATTGATATCCAAGAGTGGATGAGTTACGGAGAATATGTATGTTTCATGTATCGTTTTTTGGCCGGATAGATTCGTGTAATATTGAAACCAATCGTTTAGACTTATAATCTCCTCATGAATCTCCAGGACCTGATAATATAACTTATGAAGTTGTTAAATGTCTCAACCCCTCTTGGAAGCACTTCATATTACATTTATTTAATAACGTATTGAATTCTGAACAAATTCCAGGAATGTGGGCAGAATCTAACTTGCGTCTTCTGTATAAGAAAGGTGATAAAAAGGATCCGAACAACTACAGAGGCATATCCTTACTTAATACTCTAGCAAAGTTATTCACTAGCATTCTAAGGAACAGAATCATGAAATGGGCTGAATTAGAAAAATTAATACCGGAGGAACAGGCTGGTTTTAGAACGGGCAGGGGATGCATTGATCACATATTCACATTGATGTCAGTTGTCAACATTAATTTGAGGTCAAAGGGCAGCTATGTTTACGCAGTGTTTGTCGACCTTAGGAAGGCCTTCGACTCCATCAACCAAAATTTGTTGTGGGAAAGGCTCTTTTCTCTTGGAATGGGGGGGAAACTAATTAGGCTTCTCAAGGAACTATATGACGCTTCATCGATGCGGATAAAGTTGAAACACGAGCTGTCAAAAGAGATTGGTATCAGTCTGGGTCTGCTTCAGGGGGACAGTCTTAGTCCTGCATTGTTTATCCTGTTTGTGTCGGATATAGTTGAGTACTTCCGTGACCTAGGAGCTGTTGGTATTAGTATAGACCACAACCATGAAGTAGTTGTGCTTCTGTTAGCGGATGATATTGTGCTCCTCAGTAATTCATGGCATGGTGCACAAAGAAACATCAATATACTGGGCGAATACTGTAAAAGCAAATCTTTGACCCTAAATCCATCTATGTCTAAGGTGTTGGTGTTCCATAAATCTCCAAGGATGAAGAAACTTAAGACTTTGGCTTGGCGAGACATAAGTTTGGAGTATACCAGAAACTACACATATCTGGATGTGACCTTTTCTTCTTCTGGAAAATTTGAGATCCGCGGAGCATTTCTTACATAGATCATCTGTTGCAGCGACCAAAGTGATGGCAATCCTAAGAAATGGAAAAAGCGACTCTTGGGAGACAAAAACCAGCCTCTTTGACTCGATGGTCTCGTCAACACTGCTCTATGCTGCAGAGATCTGGGTGACGAGATACCTGGAGGTTTTGGATTTATCAAATCATTGCTCCATTGGCCAAGAAATACACCGAACTATGTGGCTCGCCTTAAAGTGGGAGATCTCCATTAAGTGTTGAAGTGTTGAAAAAAGTGATCAACTATTGGACAAACCTAAGCTTAATGAGTGACGAAAGACTACCTAGACAATGCTTTAATAGGCTTAGAGCTCTAGACTCATCCATTGGAAAACCTGATCCAACTTATAACTGGGTTACCCAAGTAAAGATGATTGTGGCGGAACTTGGATGCCAGGGGCTGTTTTCTTGTGTTTTCTCTCAAGGTGTGATGAGGTTCAAAGATGAAATCATGGAAAAAATAAGAAACCATCACGCATCCAAGGACATCGACAGAGTGTTAAACTCTAAATCAAACCCAAGATATAGAAAAATCTGCTCCTTTAATGTTACCAGAGCAGAGGATTATCTTCAGGGCTCTGAATTTAAACTAATTAAGAGCCGTTAGTCGTCTCAGAATAGGAAATAAAGATTTTATGAAAATATACTTAAAAGATGCTACTTTGACTATTGCATACTCCCCGCCTAAAATACCTATCTCAGAATCCCAATTAACTTCCTTCCTTAACTCCTTAGGACACCACTTCCTTCTAGGTGCAGACTTAAATGCTAAACACCAGCAATGGGGAGCCAGAACCACAAATTCCAGAGGACGAACATTGCTATCTGCACTTAATTCCCATCACAGCAACATCCTCTCACCCAATTCTCCCACATACTGGCCAACAGATCCTAACCGCAATCCCGATCTCCTAGATTTTTTCATCCACAAAGGTCTAGGGTCCCTTAATTATAGCATTTCAAGACTTGATGATCTTTCCTCAGACCATAGTCCCCTAATCCTAACGGTCTCCACATCACCAATTCCCAAACCTCCTCCACCTTCATTTATCAGGGGGCCAGTTAATTGGAACCTCTTCCGTCAAATACTGGATCATAATATTGACCTCAGAGTTTCCTTAAAAACACCTGCAGACCTAGATGAAGCAGTATATTCCATGACTACCTTGATCCAACAAGCAGTTTGGACTGCATCTTCACCTGATCCTTCTAAAAAATACAGCAAAATAAATCCTCTACCAAGACCTACTGGACCTTATTAATAGGAAACGATGCTCTAGGACCATCTGGCAAAGAACCAGGCATCCTGATGATCGGAAATCATATAACTATTATTCCAAGCAGGTAAAACAAAAACTGGCTACGTTTAGATCCCAATCCTATAATTCCTATCTTTCCTCACTATCTGCAAGTGATAACTCCCTCTGGAATGTAACAAAAAAAAATCCTTAAATTCCAATCCATTTCCCACCCCCTCCGCCGTGATGATGGTTCCTGGGCTTCGTCAGATGAGAATAGAGCAGAAGAGTTTGCTAAACATCTATCGTACACATTCACTCCTCATCCTGAACTCCATCCCTCCCATACTGCTGAAGTTAAAGAATTCCTCTCTTCATCGATTCCTCTCTCCTTACCTCCTACAGCCGTCAACCCCTCTGAGGTCAAATTCCTTTTAAAGAACCTAAAACCTCGCAAATCTCCAGGACACGATCTCCTTACTTCCCAGATCCTCAGACAACTTGCCAAAAAAGCAATTATATTCCTTACATATCTATTCAACTGTATCCTCCGCACAACCCAATTTCTCCTGGTGTGGAAACACTCCATAATTATCCTCTTCCCTAAACCAAGTAAACCTGTTAATTATACATCATCCTATAGACCGATAAGCTTACTTCCGATCCTTTCCAAAATCTTTAAGAAAATCCTTCTCAAACGCATCCTACCCATATTCGAATCCCACAATATCCCTTCCCATCAGTTTGGATTCCGCTCAAGACACTCCACTGTCCAACAAGGCCTTCGCGTTGTGGACCACATATCCTCTGCACTTGAAAACAAGCAATATTGCACTGGTGCCTTTCTGGACGTAGCTCAAGCTTTCGACCGGGTGTGGCACGATGGCTTGCTTTTCAAGCTCAAAACCCATTTACCTCAACCCTTGTACCTAGTCCTCAAATCTTACCTTTCAAATCGCTCCTTTCAAGTCCGCTGCGGCACTGAACTCTCCAAACATTATCCAATTGAGGCTGGTGTTCCACAAGGCAGTGTCTTGGGCCCAGTTCTCTATATCCTTTTCACCGCTGACATCCCTTCAAGTCCTGATACCTTCCTAGCAACATTTGCTGATGATACTGCCATCCTATCCTCCCACTCGGATCCTCTAATAGCGTCCCAGAACCTGCAAAGACACCTTTCCTTCATTGAGCAGTGGTGCAACAACTGGCGCATCAAAATTAATGAATCAAAATGCAAGTATGTAACTTTCACTCTTCGACGCAGATCCTGTCCGCCAATCCTTTTTAATTCAATTCCTCTTCCCTACTCAGACACAGTCCGATACCTTGGCTTCCTTCTGGACAAAAGACTGACTTGGAACCCACATACGAGACTTAAAAGACAAGAGCTTAACCGACGATTTGGTCAGCTATATAGACTACTAAACAGAAGATCTCATCTCTCAACAGAAAACAAATTATTAATCTACAAGACCATACTGAAACCTATCTGGACCTACGGACTTGAACTGTGGGGGACAACTAAATCATCGAATATCAAACGCATCCAATCCTTCCAGTCCAAAGTCCTTCGAACAATAGTCAATGCTCCATATTATGTCACGAACAAGACCCTACACCATGACCTTAACATCCCATATGTCCATGACATCATCCCATCCAGATTCTCCAACTTTCACCAGAACCTCATTCATCATCCCAATCCTCTAGCGCAATCCCTATCCAGCTCCGAGCATCCATACCATCCCCCTCGAAGGTTGAAACGGCAGTGGCCTCGAGATCTTTTGTAAATATGCCTTTGGAGTCCTGGCAATGGCCAGCTTCTCCACTCATGTCCTGAGCGTCTGTGGCTGTATTGCCCTCTTTCAGTCTCCACTGGCTTCTAATACTAGTGATGCGACTGGAAAAGTGGCACTGGGATCTTCCGGAGTCTTGCTTTGCCTTCCGCGTGTGGAGGTAAAAGCCTGGCTCGGAGATTCTTGAGCAAATGTATATATTGTATATAGTTATGATTGTGTTTAGAAGTTTTTATTTTATTTTATTTTTTTTTTTATTATTTTTTTTTATTTATTTACCTTCTTCATCAGTATTATTTATTTACTTCTTATATTTATTTCTTTATTATTTGTATATATTGTATGAATGAGAACTGTTAGCCCTAATGCTTATAGCCCTCCAGCAGTGGCTGATTGTATTATTATTCAATAAATAGATTTAAAAAAAAAAAAAAAAAAAAAAAAAAAAAAAAAAAAAAAAAAAAAAAAAACTTTGACTATTAAATCCAGTGAGGTGTGTGGTGCATGCAACTGCCTTGTAACTGACCCGGTAACTCATTTTCTAATCCAATGTATCAAGTTCAACGAGCCGAGAAATAAGTACTTAAAGGCATTTATCACTGAATCCAGAGAAGATGCTAGTGTGGAGGAGATACTGAAAATAGACACTATGAAAAAAATAAACCAACTGTATCATTTCATACAGGGCTGTTCATTGAACTGTTAAGTGGTTAACTTAATCATATAACATATATTAATTTTTATTTATATTGTCATTTGTCTTATATCTCTCGAATATTTAAAAAAAAAAAAAGTTTTACTAATTGTTATATATATATATATATATATATATATATATATATATATATATATATATATATATATATATATATATATATATATATATATATATATATATCGTTTACTAATCTGTTATTATATTAGTCATACTTAATGCTGTAGACAGTGTTAATGTTATGTTTGAATGCAGTACTAGACTCAAGATCTAACATTGTTAAATATACCATTACATTTATTTGTACAGGAATTTCCTTAGATAAATAAAATAAACTATCTATCTATCTATCTATCTATATTTATAAGTTTTCTGTAGCTCATCTTCAAAAGCTTATATGAAAATTTCCTTCTACTTACTGGACACCCTGTTTATGTTGTTATTTCGGTTATCGGAGAATTATTTTAATATACCCCACCGTGAAACTACCACTATTGACTTCTGAACATTTTTAACTTCATCTTCAAAGTGTCAATTATATTTATAATTCATACAAGATGAATGACGTCTGCAGCACTTTAAATTCGTCTAATTAGTACATTCGTAGCGTCTACTTTTACTTTTACTTTTGATACGTTCAGATTCATTTGATACTTTTAACCATGGCCAGTCAGTTCTGGAGATATAGGAGGCCAAGTGATGACTATCTAATAGTTATCAGCAGGAGCTTTAGCACTCCCATTTCGCAAACCATTAAAAAAAATAATAATAAAAATGCATATTTCCTATGTGAATAATGAAAATCTTTTAGCAAAATGAAATCTCTGTGATGATCTCTGGCACTTTAATTAACATATGTTCTAATCTGATTGTAACCAGTGTTGCCATTTGTACGAAGATTCTCGTATTTGTACGAGGTTATACCTGGTACATAATGTTTGCTGACGTATGCTAAGTTATATTTTTATGAATGAAGTTTAGATTTGTTTTGCAATTCTTTTTACTGAATTATTATTTATATTAATATGTAATACTGAACTTTTGTTGCTTTATAGACAAATAAATTTCTTTAATTAGAGATGATTATTATTTCGTTTATAAAACCATGATTATATATATATATATATATATATATATATATGTTTTTTTAATTTTCTAGCAAAAAAAAAATTTAAAAAAAAATTGATACCTTAATTTAAAAAAATGTTTTAGATTTTTATCGAGTATAAAATAAAATATAAGAAATCCATTGTTTCAATATATCCATATTGTTTCCATATAACAAATCTATATATCCATTGGTTCAATCATAAAACTACAATTTTACATAATCCCTTTATCAATAGTTCTAAGTAAGCAAAAAAAAAATAAATATATATATATATATATATATATATATATATATAATATATATATATATATATATATATATATATATATATATATATATATATATATATATTTATTTTCATTATGTCGTAATAGATGAAGTCATAATAATATGTTTTCCATTTATTTTTTAAATTGATAGACATATTATATCCTTTAAAAAGTTTATTTTACTGTTTTAATTTTCTTAGAAAGCTTTCCAATAGTTCCAAAAATGTATGCACTTTTTTATATATTTAATTCCGTGCCTTAAATTAAACTCGTTTTACGTCTTAACCCATTAACTTAAACAAAAATATTTTAAAATGACTTTAAAATATATAGACAGAGGTAAAAAGTAAAGTTCTGATCTAAAACAAAACAATAACACTGAGCCTACAATAGTACGAATTTTTAATGAGCAAGCGTACGAGGATGTACGAGGCTGAAATACGAGGATTTGCTACAGAGCGCGCGGCAACACTGATTGTAACTTGTTTACAGTCTATTGCAAATAAAATCATAATGCTAATATGTGTATGAAATGTTGTTTATTTGTGAAATTAATTTTAGATATAATTGGCCAATTCAATTTAAAGGGATGAAAATTGGATAAAAACATACTATTTTATTTTTATTATCTTCCTTTGTGCATCCCAATGCTAGAGTTTGGCCATTTCCTCTTGACCCAGCCAGTTTTTGTTTATATAAAATTAAAATAGTTACCGTTACTGGATGGCTTGGTGAGCGGAAGGGTTGAGGCAGTGCTGTTCCTGCCGCCCTCAGGCACCGCCCCCTCGGCCTCCGGAGGCAAGAGCTTGGGGACGTAGTGGGGGTGGCCCCGCCGGTGCTGGTGGATGCTGTTGAGTATGATGTTGCTAGAGGTCCTCGAGAGGGCGATCCTCTGGCGAACTGCCTCCTGGTAGATCCTGCAAGAGACCCAACGTTATCTTAAAGGATAAAACAAAAAGATAAAGGAAGAAATATCCAATCGCATAGATTTAATTAAAAAAAATATAATATGCATGAAATCAACAGCTTATAAGAAGCCCAACAAATTATGAAACTATAACTTCTGTACGTAATGTTTTGTTTCATTGCAATACTAATGATCAATTTTGCACAAGGGTTTTGTAGGACTTGTCAGTTTTTTATTGTTTCTATACTTTGAACAGAAGCTTAACTTTCTTTATTGAATATTGATACATTCTGCCACATTGAAGGGCATTAATATTAAGGCTACATGATTCATTCACACAATATGTACATACAATTAATATCAATAATAAAGGAAAAGAAATATTAAAAAATAAAATAAAATAAGTAAATTGGTATGCCTTTGTACAAAAAAAAAAAAAAAAAAAAGAAATAATAGATAAAAGCTAGATGAAATTAAAGTAAATAAATCACATTCACACCTATGTACAATATTTACATTCACCCAGAGGACTCTGAGTCATGCCTTATTCCCCGACGTGGAAGCCAAGGCAGGACTCCAGGAGATCCCAGTGCTTCTCTCTCAGCCGCGTCACTGTTATTTGAAACCAGTGGAAACTGATGGAGGGCACTATAGCAACAGACGCTCATGTCTTGAGTGGAGAATCTGGCCATTGCCAGTACTCCAATATACACATATTACAAAAGGTCGCGGGGCCACTGCCGTTTTAACCTCCGGGGAGGATTGTAGTGATGGCTGGAGCTAGATAGGGATTGTGCTACAGGATTTGGATGATGAGTGAGTTTCTGGTGAAATTTGGAAAATTTTTCTGGGATTAGGTCAATAACAAATGCGATATGAAGGTCATTATGAAGGGTTTTGTTGGATACATAGAAGGGAGCATCGAGTATTGTTCGGAGGATTTTAGACTGGAAGGATTGAATGCGTTTGATGTTAGAAAGTTTTGCTGTCCCCCAACGTTCTATTCCGTAGGTCCAAATAGGTTTCAGGATTGTCTTGTAGATTAGTAGTTTGTTGTTGACATTTAACCAAAATAGGTCTATTTTCCTGTAATCGACACTGAACCGTATTATTTATTTTATTGTATTAGTTTATTTAAATTATCCCTATCTACATTTAAAACCCTCCTATTCCAATTTCTATCCCAAAAACAGTCAGACAGCACCCGCTAACCTTTTATGTAAATTTATATATTATTCAAAATTATTCACATAATGGAATATTTACATATAATTCATGACTTAAATAATTACTATCAGATTCGTCTCCTTTTTTTTTCTTTCTTCAGAAACACAGAGTTTATTGCTAGGAAGAATGTAATGCATTTTTAATTTATTTTTTTTTAAATTGCATACTTATGTAGTATACCACTGTGTATACCAAGTATATACCACTGTACACAGTTTTAAGTGTATCGGCATTGTTCCTAGTGTTTTGAATATAGATTTTTTTTATATTTTGTACATAGTATATTTAACTAATATTTTCTTTACTTTTTTTTATTCTTACCTTTCATGTTTGTTTTTAGTTAGGCCAGATATAATACTTTAATTATGTACTTTTTTGTTATTTTAAATGGACTTCCTCCCAGACTAAAATTATTTTTCTATTCTATTCTATTCTAAATTTATTGACAAAAGTGTTACCATCAAAAATCTTTTATACCAGCATACCCCAATGAGAACTCTTACATTAGGTAGCTGCCCCTTTTCGGTATGCATCTCACGTAAAATCGACATTAGTGAAACATATTTATTAGTATAAACAATATAATATTATCTAGATAGAATATTTAACACAAACGTTTAAGTAATATTTCAATTAATAAGGGATTAGCTCGCACCTGAGGAAAATATATTTCCAGTCTAATAATTAAAGAGTAATACACAGCTATTCCAAAACATATTATAATCCATTATAGTACTCGCTCATGAATTTTTTCTTTCGAAATTTTTTAGTCTTCCACCACATACATATCCAAAAATATTAGCAAGAGACTTACTTAATCTGATGGAACTGCATGGATTAAATTTCAACTTAAATCGATCTAACTGTAATGATGTTAAACTATAGAGAGATTATTTATATTTACTAAAAATTCAAATTCAGAAAAACATATATAATCAATGTGTAATTAAAGTTCAGAATTCTAAAACTTTCACTTTTTACCCTCATTTAACTTCAGTAAATTATATTGATGACAAAAGCTCATTGAAGGTGATCAGATTGGTAATTAAGATTAGAGCTGATGTTTTGAACTTACATTATAAAAACTTCAAGCAAACAAATAATAATTGTAGCCTTTGTAATACAAACGATACAGAAGATCTCTATCACTTTCTGGCTGCTTGTCCGCTACTATCTGAATTTAGAATTAAATAGTTAAAATCTAGAAATTTATCTCGGGATCAAGTAATAGATTTAACAATTGGATAGCATTCGTAAATTACTGCCAGTCTGCTTTCAACTATAGAATGATTCTCTCCAAAAAGGTAACAATTAATAAATTGGAGAATTTCGGTACCACTCTTTTTGTAATTAAAATATTTATATAACTTTTACATTTTAAATATAATTGTTCTTATTGTCGTATTAATTAGTTGTATATAAATGAATTGAAATATAATTTCGTTATAAAACACGTCGAACGTGTCGCACGTCTGATTTTTGGTTTTAAATCTGAAAATATAATTTTGTATTGCTTTATAATTTATATTATGTAATTTCGATAAATAAAAATACTTTTTCTTCTCTTCTACTCACTCAGGACCTACAGCCAAGTAACAAAAGTTTATGTGCACTCACGACCTTAAAAAATAGAAGGCTATAATTCTTATTGGTTCAGTTTATAACCAATAAAATAAGTAATAACGTTAAGTACTTTAATTCATAAGTTCCAAGAAATTATGAATTAGTTTTTTTTTCATATAAAAAACAACAATAACAGTGCAACATAACAAAAAACAATGAAAACTAGGGTAACAAAAGTTTCTGGATATTTTCTTTAGATGACAATTACGAATTTGATATCGATATTAGAAAAAATAAACTAATATTTTTTGGGATCGCTCTTAGCTTTTATTATCTTCCTGAGCCAATCTGACATAGAAGAAGCCAGTTCTAAAATCACAGAAGTCGGTATCTAGGACCATTCTTAGAGGACACGCTTCTTAAGTTCTTCCTTGTAGCTCATTGAACTCTTCGTGATTATCTACCAATTTTGGGCAATTGTAAAGACACCAAGTTCAGGCCATTAGAATAGTGTGTTTAGCTGATAGAAATGAAACTAACACTTCAGCCTTAAGCCGTTAACATTAAGCATTAATTTGTTTTAAAATTATTACAGTACATTGCAGCATTCATATTTCCATCAATTAAAGAAAATTGTCCAACACTGGCAAACGCCATGTACACCGGCTCCACCTATGAGCCTCCCTTGTTGTGGGGTTTTACCGTAGGCTGCATATATATTTTTAGAGGTTCTAATGGAAAGATCTTATCTTTAGTGACAAAACTAAAATTGAACAAGATGGTTCACATAAGCAAAGAAAAATCTGGAGGAAAAAATTAAGTTCTAAAAATAAAAAACAAACAACATATGATGAAACACATTAGAGCTATACACCTCCTCAACATCAAAGAGTGATGTTAAGGAGGTGTATAGCGGCTTAAAATGCCGGACTAACGGGTGTCGTTTATGGGAAACTGAATCAAAATGTATCAAGGAGTATACCTTTGCGCATATATAAAAGAAAGTAGAAGACGTCGAATGTAAAACGTAGAAGAATTCGAAAAATCGAAACAAAACCATTCTTTTTCCAACTTTTCTTTCAACATTAAGCCAAATATGACTGTTCGTTTCTGAAAGATTGGCATATCTAAGAAAATACATTTATGCAGACGCAAGCGGAATTATCGAATGACATTTAATAAATCTAGCCACCAACCCACACCGCACCTGAAAAATTCCTGTAAAGTGGATGGACGGTAGCGAGCGATATGTCCGGTAAATGGATTTGGCTACAGGTAGATAAAAACTGAATCAAAATAGATTCTTGATGTATGAAAAGTAAAACGCAAGTGGATAATTTTCATACTGAACAAATAATAACTTTTATCCTATCACACAAATACAAAGCTTCCCTACCTTTGATGTTGAGGAGGCAAATCAGACTTCAAATGGACGAAACTAGTAATAAGCCTCTTAATTTTATATATATGTACATATATTCCGCAAAACGGATATCCAACACAGTTTACCCCCAAAATATTGTAGAATTTCTTCTGAACAAACTTTAAAATTTAAATACTGACATAAAACAACACCAACAAATAAAGTTCATAATTCCCACGCATTATAATATTCTCTGGATAAACGCACATAATTTCTTATTTGATACAAAAACCAATTCCATGAAATGTGTTAGGATTATTTAGACATCAGCCGACCTATCGTTGATATGTATTTGAGTAATACTAATGGAAATGAGGGAAATGCATATGGTAAAGCAATATAATTAACATTGGTTCAATATCGGGTATGAATATAATTACTTCTGGCAGTTATAATATTGTAGATCTCTCAGTAATAAATCTAGAGGATAATTTAAATTCATAATACATTGATTGCACAATCCTATACAACATATTAATTAAGGTATTTTTACAGAAATCTAAACTTTTCTGTTTATATTATTAAGAATAAAATACCTTATCGATTATTATGATTGAACTAATACATTTATACAACACTGTATTATAAAGAAAAAAAAGAGAAATGTTTTGTGCCGTTAAAAAATAAATATAAATTAGTTACTTGTATCAGTTTTCTTATTGTTATTGCTTCCTCACTACCGAAGGTAGGGAAGCATTTTATTCGTGAGAGAATTTAAAAAAAAATTGTATGCTCTGAATCGAAAATTTCCACTCGCGTTTTACGTTTCAGACATCAAGGATCGAATTTGGTTCGGTTTCTGTCTGTCTGTTCGTAGTGAAAT